TAAGGGATGGAAGTTATGAAGTATTAACATGATGCTAAATTACTGCATATCATATTTGCAATGGGCAGTTTACAGTCTGTTCATCCTGATGGATTTAGCACAACTGAGTTTGAAGTTCTGGCTCTGCAATTTCTATCTCTTGCTAGTAATTTATGATTAAATTATACCCACAAGTAATATGTTAGCCCAGAATGAGTTTGGGACCCCGCTCAGCCCAAACAGCTCCATTACACTCAGCAGAGCAGTAATAAATGGAAAGTAAGGAAAAGTTCCAGGAGATAATGAGTCTGAATACTAATGAGCTAAACTAATACAAAAGATAGAATGCAATTTATCAGAGTACAAAGTCCATTTGGTGTCTTAGTGAGTTATAAAAATACAATAATGATGATTTTCTGGTTTGAAGCCAAGTGCCCTATTTTCCACATGTTTTTCTTGCTGCAGAATTTGTGAATGTCTGCTTTGCTCACTGCAGAATTAAAATTTACTGCAGAATTTCATGCTTCTATCTATCTTCAGCTCAATAACCAGAAATTATATCCTTTAAGCATCCTAGTCACTTAGAGTAATAAATAAGCTGAAAGCTGTGCTCATTCCATGAAAATATAGGTTCATTTTTATCTTTATACAGTCTTTTCACCCTATGGAGAATACAAAATAAATTTATTCTCAGCTAGAAAAATAAATTATTGGAGGGATTATCTTGCAACCTTATGATTAAGTATAAATCCAGAATTAATTGAAAATAGATGTGAAACCTATAATCTCTTGCTGAAGTAGATTGTACAGCAAAATATCTCTCTTCAATCATATTTTCATATTTTCTTAATACCAAATAGTTGAGATGAATAAAATAGCTACTAAAATATAGCCTCTAAAATACAGAGTTGGCATTCTCATGAAAAGATGAGATACGGCTCCCCGACTGTACTGGAAATGAAGACGCTTTTTTCTGCAGTGTATTCGTTTCTTCTTTCATGCAGTATTGATCGTATTTCATACAGCAGCATCTGAAATTAAAGAAAATAGTATTATTGCACAAAAAGATGAGGTTAGAAAAGGAGTCTTTTCTAATTTGCTTTAGATTCAATGTCATTGTAATAGTAATCAACAGTAGATTTCCGTTAACTTTCACAGTAATGAATTTTCCTCTCTATTACAAATGTAAACAAGGTTGCAACCAAGTGACCAGCCGAACAGAGGACACGCATTAGAATGGAGCAAAAGACCCAAGTGTGATAGCTGCCTGTTGGATAATGTTTTAAGTACCTGCTCCATGGAGTATAACGCAAACACCTGCGTGAGAAGCACTCATCCTTATTCACTACTGAGAGAAGCTCAGCGATCATCTAAACAGCCAGCGACCATCTAAACAGCCAGCGAGGCAGAGGCTGCCCTAGGGAGCAATCCTAGAGGTGCCCATGTCTGAGGCTGCCCGGGAAAGGTGTCCCAGAGGTCCCTCAGAGGGGAGGTATCTGCCCCCTTTCCACAAGCTCTCGCTCCTGGGCCATGTCTTTATGAACTCCTCACTCTGCAGCACGGGGTTCATGAGGGAATTGGAGTGTTAGGAGGGTCCTGGCCAAAATACACTAAAAATACCCTAATGAAAATAAAATTACTTTGGAAGAATCTGAAACACCAGTTGGATGGAAAAATTTGCAAACACGGAATCATAGAATCGTTATGGCTAGAAAAGGCCTTCAAGATCATCAAGTCCAACCATGTACCCACCCTCACCTCCTCACCTCCATTATACTGCTATTTGGTAGAATAAATTTGGCAATAATGACATAAGCACCCTTTTTTTCTCTCTCTCTCATTTTCTAAAATGCAAAATACTCATTGATAATCACGAATGAAGCTTTGGAAAATTGGACAGCAGCTGCTGAAGTTGCATCTGATGAGCAACCTTGAAATATGAAAGTGCCCAGTTCCAAATCAGGCTTATCATTAGCTTTTAGGGAACTATACAATGTAGGGGAGGGAAATGTAAGGTTCCTGCACTTTCTCTTCTCACATGGAGCGACAAAGCAACTGCAGCTGCTACCTATTCTGGTAGTTCATGCAGCTGAGGGCCCAATAACTACATCTGTCTCCCTTTATATCTTAAAAGAGGGAGTGAGAAGTGCCGCTTTGGCTGTGGACTCATACCGGAGGCTGCAGCTGCTGGGGTGAACTAGAAAATGGCCAATGCGGGCAGGACAAAACACAACAGGAGTTGATGACAGGCAATGGAACAAAACTTTTAAAGAGTTTTTACAGTGCCCATTACAGCTCTGTTCTGCAAGCAAACATGAGTGCTTCCCTTTGAAACCTCTCTGTGCCTGCTTTGGAGAGAAACACACCTTGGTAGGTATTTTAAGCAGCCCAATAACATGTCAAGTACTGGTGAATGCACCAACGCTCTGACTCTGAGAGTTGACTGCGACTAAAAGGAGTTTTATTTTTAATGTGTGAATCAGACTTGAATCTATTCTGGGAGCAGAAACAGTGGAGATATTATCTTGCAGGATACTTTAAAAGTAAACAGATAATTCTGTGTTGCATGCACTCTTTACAATGTTTAAAGCTGCATGAGGACCTTAATCTTTGTTCGTGGACTTACCCACGGGGATTCACGGAAACAAAACAAATGGCATCTTGCAAAAAATGGCTACCTGGCAAATTCAGCATGTCAGCACTTGTGCTAACTGCTGCCTTCAGCCACATGGCGCTCAGTTTAACCACGGCACAGCTATCCCTCCTGAGCACTGCAACGATGCTCTTCAGAGAGCAACAAAAGGATAGTTGAAAGTGTCTTGTCAATTTTCACCGACTGCTCTTTACAAACATATGTATGATTTCTAAAAACAAAGCTTATCTGTAATCTTCCTCTTTTCCTGTGTGCGCTTGGTATGTGCCTTTGCCAGAATGTTTTGAACTGTGAGTTTCACTGTTTCCCCTGAGTAATTTGTACTTATGTTGCTTGTGTGGGTGTCTGCTCAGAGAGGCACAGGAGAGAGGCATTCTTTTAAATATGAAAATATTTTTGTAAAGCTGCAATCATAAAGGGAAAAGCAAGCAAAAAAATATTTTTAGTCTCTTTTTCTGCTTGCACTAATAAGGTCTGTAATCGTGGTGTTGAAAGACTTCTTTCATAAGGAAGCAGGGGCCTGGGCCAAGGCCCAGATGGACTAGCACTGAATTTTCCTGGTCTTAGCTCATGCTCTGTACAGTTCAACTCCTAAATTTCTTTCATTTTACAGTTTCAGTGAAAGAAGTTTTCAACTTTTTGGCCATACACATTCTCCCTCCAGGTATCCTCCCTCTTAGCTCTTTATCTGTCTCATGGTTTAGTCTTATGATCCATTACACTGTAAGGTAAGATTAGTTCTTAAATCGCGTATTCACTGGAAGACTGACTTGTCTCATTTAACTGTAAAGCTACAAGATGATTCAGGAAACATAGAGACACGAAGCACCTTCAAGGATCTCCAAGCTTTTTGCAAAGAGAGATGAAGTGCTGATGGCAAAATGAAGCGTACAAGAAATTATTGGCAACTGCCAAAGTGGAACTTCCATTAGCTTTTACGCAGCTTTTAACGCTTCAACCTGTTTTATTACGAGAATTAATGGGAGGCAGGACACTAATATTATTTCATTTTGACCTTAGGGCACTGACTGACAAAGAGAATGTAGTGAATAAAGTACTTGGAGTAATATTGACCAATTTTGTGAGTAACAGCTAACAGCATCACATTGGACACTTTTTATATATAAAAGAAGAATCTCTACAACAGTTGGCTATAAGACACTGGGTATCCTTTCTTCTTGGAACTATTAGTTCTGTATTTATCATTAATTTCCCAAAGTAAGATAAAATGTTGTTTTATCTTGTTATTCAGTAAGATAAAATGCTGTGAAGTTTTGAAATTGCTTAGGGAGAATTTAATGCTTCTTTCTCTTAAATGGGCAGAGGACAGAAATCCTGTAAAAGAGGGCTCCCAGTTGCTCTTCATGCTGTACACACGTGATCATTCTTCTGTTCTGATCCCTGGATGTTTAGAGAGCATTTTTGGTCTGGAAGGGATCACCTGCACAGCCAGTCTGCCTGTGCCTCGCACAGCTCAGGCTGCTGGGGAAAGGGCAGGACAGAGACTGAGCTGGAAAAAATTCCTTCCTCAGGATATGTTTTCTTAAGCCTCAAAGGGCAATTTTAGCTGAAGTTTTCTCTATGGAACAAGGATATCAGGGCTGGCCATCAGCAAAATTGCCTTGCTGGATGCTCTAGTGCTTTCGTATAGACAGTTCCCTAAATGTAGGGAGTTCCTAAGGGGCATGGTGATCTTAATTTCTCTCCTGGTCCATTCACTCTCCTGCTCTTCTAGGGAACTGCTATCTAATCAAGTGCATTCAAAAATGTTAGTTGTCTTATGGTTTCACATGCTGTGTTTTTGAAGTAAAGGAAGCTAAGAGCCTAACTTTGATACATAAGTTCAGCATTTATCCTTCTGATCTGCTCTAAGACCTGATGTTATCTCAGGTTTCTTGCTATCAGTCCAACTTGTTGTTTCTCTCTCTCCATTTATCACAGAAGAGGCATTTTAGAACTGCTAAAATAATAGTTGATGAAAACAGTGCTTTACAAGTTAAAAAGTACTACACTGGGGGATAAAGCTGACTGAGGAGCCATTGGTAGAGACAGAAAAAGAAGCTGATTGTCCAGAGCCTGTTTCTAACATGCTGAACAGCTCTGGTCCTGAACCAAATATTTGTCTTCCTGAATGCAATGTTCACGCTTTCCAAACAAATAAACAGGAGCCCCAAAACTTGCAGTAATTCTAATGTCACCTTTTGACAGCGCTAAGGAAATATCTCCACAGCTGTCACACATAAGCAGAGATACTCCTAAAGAACTTGAGAGACTTGACTCATGCATTTTTCCAGGACAGTTGATATTGGGGTCATTTAATGAAAGATGGCAGAAATACAGAAGGATCCTTAATTTCGGCACTCAAACGCTATAATAATAGGTACCCTGAAAATATACAGAGAGATTAAGTGTCCCACATTGAAAACATTCTCCTTTTGTATAGGTATGGGTACAGAAGTTGATGAATTTTTAGTTAGCAGAATTTATTCCCCATCAAAGATCTGCCAAGCTGTTTCATCAACTCTTTCTACTCTTTTAAGATATAGCAGTTAATTTAATCAAAGCAGCAGGAGTGCTGGCAGGTCAATCCCAGTGGTTACTCCAGGATAACACAAGTTAAGTTTGCATGGGAATGGACCAGGACACCTTGTTTCCAGCACCTGAAAAAAACATCTTTGGCAAAGCCGCTATCCTGGAAGGACACAGGATGCTGCTGCTCGGCTGAAACACTATGACGAAGGTGCTGGCTGGTAAGCCCCCATCAGGGACACATGCTAGTACAGCCTCCGAAATTCCTCTTTCTAGGCTCAGGTTAAATGCTGGCTTTTCCTACGGGCAACAATTAAAATGGGCAGTTCTGCGGGAAATGGAAGTATGGAAATGTTTTCCTGAAGGGATGGTTGAGAGGTTTCGTAAAGAAGAGGTCTGAAGCACCTGAATGCTGCAGGAGCTGTGACACGGCCCTGGGGCAAGGAAGAGGCCTCCTCTCCATAAGGAGAAGTCGCTGCAGGTCAGACAAGGGCTTTCTCACCAGCAAGAGCTCATGGTGTCCAGAAAGCAAAGAGGTGAACTCACATCACCAGATACAGCTCCCAGCTATGTCAATGACTTCCCAAGTTCTCTTATCTACCTCTGTTACCATTTTAAAATGCTAATAATGACACCTTTTCATCTTTACAAGTCCTCATAACATGTCTGGATGGGAACCGTTTATCAAGTGGTCATTATTTTTAATTATTATAATACGCTACTCTGTAACTCAGCAAGTCTCTCTCAGAAGCAAAACCAATTTAGTTGTACTATTAATTTGTTATAGAAGTAGTTCACCTTTTCCACACAGTGCTGTTCAAAAATTCTTCAGCTGTGCTCTCAAAATAAACCTCATTTTTTAGTTACACGTGAAGTACAGAAATCAAACAGCACTTTAGTACATCTTTTTTTTTTCTAGGGCATCAAAAAGATAGCGTGACATCATATTGAGTTTTCTCTAGAACTCCATCCAGCTTAAATATATGTAAATAGAGAAGGATCTTCTTAAAGGAAGAAGCTTCTTATGCTTTTAACCTAAAATATTTGCCATGCGCACCAATATAAACCTGTGCAAATAGCAACAACCTTGTTTATGCAATTGATACATTAGCCTGCTTGTATTGTTTATTGGCATCTGTTCCATTTTTAGGTATTAAAAGTACTTCCTAGGAGAGGTATCTATTACTGCATGTTTCTTTTCCTCTGTCCTTGTCAGAAAAAAATGCCAGAACGACACTGAAGACCAGGACACAATGCCCTGCACCAGGAAAAGTGGCAGAATTTGCACTGGCTTCAGGGACACATGCAGATTAACAGACTAATAGATCATTTTATTGATCATCCTTGGCACCAGAAGGAAAGCTGATCTTGTTTTCTTCACACCAACCCTTTACAAACATATTTAAAAGATAGTCATCTCTATTGCCATTACTAGAGTAAAGAGCAGTTTATTTTGAGCAGATATTTCTTACTATTCATTTTAAAAACACAAGGCAAAACAGAATAATCCAAGAGTTGTAAAATATTTGCTTACCTTCTACACCTGATGCACCCACTTGGCAATGCTCATGTTCAAGAATTATAGACAGTATCTCTGTGGTCTCTGCAGTGAGTGGAGTCTGCTGCTTGTTGTTCTCTGCTACTAAAAGTTAGAATAATTTTTATCCATATTATGAACATCTGCAGAGTATTAAACTTTGCAGATTTAAAATATTGGAACCGATTATAAATACCAGACAGAAGTACAGAGCTAGTGCCAGGCTAATGGGGTCAAAGTTATGGGTATGTTCTATTTTTTCAAAGAAGAACTACAGAGATTAACACACAAGGGGTTAAGTCCAGGTCCAACCTGTCTCAGACCATCTGTAACTTCTCTAAACTGCTGTTGAGTTTCTCCTAAGTTCACAGTGAAAGGGTGAGCTATGATACTTATATTTAGCTACATCCCTTCTCCAGCTACTATCTCATTTGGGCTTCTCTCCTTTACAAATACAATTAAAAAGCACAGTTTGGCTCTTGCTAATTAAGCAACTGCATATGAAAAGCAAAGTTAAAATAAAACTGAGGAATTAATAAAAATAGGAGTGGATCTTCTTCCCGCGTCGGGACAAACCTGCATGGAACAGGGCTGTGGCTGGTACTCCCTCGGGAGCCCGCGGGCAGCCCTGCTCTGCGCACACGCACATTGCACAGAGTAGCAGCGTCCTGCTGGGATTATGCAGGGGCTATAAAAAGCTCCCAAAATTTACTCATGCCCTATAGATTTTATCCTCCTTTCTGAAACATAGCAGAAGACCCAAAGTGGTACTTAGGCGTCATGTTTTATTCTGGAAACATGATGCTGTGGAGACATGCGAGCCTGAGATACCGACTGAACACTGTGACGAGCTTTCCTTTCCCTGCATGATTCCTCTAAGCTGCTCCAAGACAAGTGTTCAGCTGCTCAGAAATTAACTGGGAAGGATCCAAAACAAATATATAATGCTCCACTTGGCCAAGATTGAACAAATTTATTTTTTCTTGGCTTCCATCTACTTGATACTGCGAAAGATGTATCCTGCCTGTTCTCCTTGCTCAATAAAGTAAAATGAGCTTGAACTCGCTGGAACACCAGCCCTGACAGTACAGGGACAGTCTTTGTTTTCATTTACAACCCATAAGCTAAATGGAAGCAACTGTAGCCTCTGAGAGGGCAGAACTTGGCCCCTGCTCTCTAAGCTCATCAGTAAGGAACTAATGTTTTCACAGAATAGCAATAAGAATGATACAGGAATTTCTTACATGCATATTATAGTTATTAAGACCACTTATTTCAAATGTCGTGCATGATACAAAGTCTATACAGGCTAGAGAACAACTGCAGGCCAGAAACCCTGAGGTTTTATTACTTGAGGCCTGGTTGCCACCCTGATCTTACAATATCCCTCTTTCATGCAAGGTTATTAGATTACCATTGCTTGGTGGTTGAGAGGCTTTATCAAATTAAAACACGTATTTTAAACAAGCCACCCCATTTCCCATGTTACTACAGAGTACAAAATTGCTGTACTTGAGAATGGCAAATACTTCCCTTTCCCTCCAACCTCTGTGCTATGCATTGACTTCCACATTTCTTCCAGCAGGAACCAAGAGAAGTTAAGGCCACACATTCCCTAAGATATCGCTTTTTTTTTTTTTTTTTCCTTGTTACAGACATCATTCTTGAAATGAAAAAAAAAAAAGGAAAAGAAAAGTTTGATGTCTCTGGATAAGCATAAGCAAAGAGGCCTAAGCTGCGGAGCGCCAGCCAGAGTGTGACCCACAGGGATGGACGGCGTCTGCCGGAGCTTCCACACTGGGAGCAGCTGCTCCCGAGTGCACGGGAGGAATTCCTGTCGCTGCCAGGAGCTGAGGCCAAAGCCTTGAGGCAGGTAGGTCCTTGTGCTGATACTGAACACAGCTGGTCACAGCTTAGCCAGGTACTGTGCACATTTGCTGACCCTGGGCTGCACTCATTTTCAGAAGAGCAATTGAATAAATAAGTCTAAGATGCCAGGTAAGGAGCACAGATATGATAGTACAAGGATTGCAAGAATACATCTTGGAATTCACAGACTATTGAATTCCCAGTTAAACAGGTTACTCCTTCTACAAACAGTGTCTGCAGAAGTCAGTGCCATGACTGGCCACGCTCAAAATCTCTTCCAGCAGATACAATGTGAATATTGATTTGATAACGTTGGAAGTCAAGAGCATCATAATATAATAAAAATAAAACATACTGAAATATGTTAATACACCAGAATTAACTTTGCACTATTATGAGCTAGATAAGTGAATCAAAGAATCCTATATCTGTATCCTAAAATGTAATGAACCCAGTTGTGACTCTGTCAATGGAGTATCACTGAAAATGAGACCTTGTAATTGTCCTTGTAATTGCTATTATTAATTTATTAAGTTGTTCTGAAGTCTTTTATACTGCCTCTTCAATTTCAGATAACTCCTCCAAAAGGCTTTGCAAAGAAAGGCTGTGGTGAGGGAATCTCCCTAAGATTCTCGATCATGAACATGAAGCAAGGAGTGGACTTTTCTTCTACGGTTTGTTTCCTGTGTACTACTACTATCGAGTCCTTCCTGGTATGAAAATGCTTTATGCGTAGAAATACAGTTTGGTGACTTAAAGAACATCTTCGTGCACTGGAGAAAAAGCATCCTGTGCTCTTCCTCTTTCCTTGTGGCTGCATCTAGGGGCAATTGTATTTTGTCAATTCAAGCTGTTCACAGAACTGTTTTGTAAATGTAATGACATAAATGAACCCAAGGTCTAGAAAACATATTATGTCAACATTTATAACCAAAATTCTTTAAAACTCTCCTCTTCTCTCTTTGTATTTAATCTCTGCTAGGACTTACTGTATGCTATTTCCTCCTTTCCTGTGGCTGCCAGAATTAATTATATGATTTATGGACATAGAACCACTAACAGTTTCACCAGACAGTTTACACCATACATGGTGTAAATTACCTTTTTATGGGGAAGCACAAGCTCAAACACTTGTAAGACCAAAGTGATATTAAGCCACTAATTTCCTGAGCCCACCTAGGAAATCATTCTCATTCACAAAGCATAGGATTTATCCTTTGTGAACTTTGAATAACCTTTTAGTAGTAACTATATCTGTATAAGATACTGTCACATCCTCTTGGGGCTAATGTCGCTTATTCTCATTCCAGGATGTTTCCAGGATGGTTATTTTGTGTTCTTCTAGGGATCTCAATTTTCTGTTTCTAAGTTCCAAGCTGTGCACTAATGATAATGAAAATTATATCAAAGGTATTATTAAGGACTCTTGAAGAAGTAACCCATATCTATTTATAATCCGAGAGAAAATCTTGAAGTTGGTAGAAAAAAATAAGTACTTTTCAGGCGGTCTTTATTGTACTTTAAATTATAGTGGTGTAAATCAGAAAAAAAAATACTGAATTGAGTAGTATTATAGTATGTGAAATCAATGAAATTCAGATTAGAATAAAATCCATTATGCTGTTTCTTATAGCTAAACATCTTTCTTGGTTTAGTGGATAGACTGAAGTAACAGGAATACAGGAATAAAAAAAGCAGTCCAATATTTGATTCCTATCCCCTTCAATATAGTAAAACTAAATTTGAATTTCTATAAAATTCCATCAGCAAAAATGCCTTTGGATATACAACACTAAAAATGTCATTGTGAACATGCTGATAAAAACAGGAACGGTATTAGTGTAAGTGACTAAAGACAGGAGATGGCAGAGACAGATTCCTTTCCCCGAGGATGAAAATAATGAGCTCATAAATACATCTGAGAGGTAGCCAACACTCTAAAACGAGGGAACATAAATTGTACTCCCAGGAGATTTAAAATGCCACAAATTATTGCACTGTAAAGAGAAATTATTGAGTCTTCTCTAACTCCTGAAGACTTTGCAATACAAATGGCAATGTAGCCAAGCCTAGATAATTTTAAAACTGCTTTCTTTTTTCATTTGCTGTCTTCATGTGTGTTTTTGTTTTGGAGGGAAGTTGTTCTGCTGTTCAAAACTATTGTTGTACATGTTCACGTTAATCTTTGAAAAGACAGAGCCCCTTTCCTGAAACAAGAATTCATGGATTTATTAAAGAATATGATTCTTCTAGCAATATCTAACTTGGACCTAATTTCCCTCTGCATAGAGAAGGTTTTTGGTTTTCTTTCCAAACTAAAATTTCATGAACCATACTTTGAGTTTAACCATGCCACTTAGCACTTGTTTGTACTAGACATAATATATTCTTAGAAGATCAGTTTTTAATAACTATCTGAAACTATGAAGTTAACAATGTGGAAATTCTGCCCACAAATAGGCTACAGAGTGCCAGCAAAGCCATTCTGTGGGTCCTGCTTCAGCTGCTCATTCCAGTCTTTGATAGAAGATTTTGTCAGGAATCATAATCACATGGAGCGCGCAAACATGTCGATATATTTGGGTATATTTTTCACACACACACACATCCCACTCACACCAAATTCCAAGTACCAAATTCCATAACACCACCAAAAATTAAAATGAGGCAAAAAACACCCAAACAATGAAGCCATCTAGAAGACTGAAGGAAGCATGGCATACAAAGGCTTTCTTGTAGTTTCACTGTCAGGGTTATTTGTTTTAAATATAAATATGTTTCAATAAGAAAGACAGGTCATACTATATTTGTGTAGAACCAAGGTAACTATACTGAACTGTAACTAAACTGAAGCATCCCAAGGCTTAAAAGGTCTTTCTTAGCTTCCTCATAATTAAGGCTTTGTTAGGCTTATATTTTACTTTTATATTACTTACCAGGAAAAAGGTGAGTTTTAGTAGCAGATATAGTTCTTCTTGCATGTCTGGAACTGCTTTTCCTTAGAGTGGTTGAGACTGCTGCTGCTACTCTGTGTTTACAGTCTGTTTTGAACAGAATTAATTGCCTTCAGCTATAGAATTATATACAGTGCTCATTAGAAAGAAAGCTGGCAAAACCCCCTTTTTTAAAGTTGTTCAACCCCCCAAAAAAGAACACCACCACCAACAAAAAAGATGGCTTTTATAATTGAACTGACTTATCCTAAAAAACCATGGACACCATCAGGTTTACAGAAAGGTTTTGAAACAAAGAGAAGAGGGAACTCTAGGGACAGGGGTTTTTCACTTTGCTAAATGATTTTTTCCTAAATTCCACTCAGGTTCTCAGGTCTGCCCTTTTCAAATTATTCTTCCCACTACTATGTGCCTTGAATAATTTTTGGAAGGCTGTGAAAAAAGTGGTCATACCTGTTCCTGCACCAGTTTCAGATGCTCACTGCTGACAGTGGAACAGAAAGAACAGAGTGTCCAGCTTCCCTGCAAGTGTGGAGTTTTCATTTTGGGATCAGAGGATGAGAAAAAGCTCTCTGCGCCAGAGACAGAAAGATACAGCTGGACTGGGTACCTCCGACCATCCTTAGCAGCCAGCTTATGAGCGTTTTGCATTTTTCTGCTGCCTTTTTAACAGTCTGATCTTGGTAGTGTTACTGTGGTTGATTGTGTAGCTCTTACACTTAACTGTTCTACAAGCAGTTCAGGACTCAGCTTCTGAAGACAGGCTTGCTCCAATTCTGCATAACAGAATTGATTTTCATCTTTTTCTTTAGAGAATCCTAGAAAACTTAATGCTAAAGAAATTCATTAAATTAGCATTATTTAGGTCATGACTTTTTTCCAATACTCAGCTGATATCTAAGATGTTGAGGCCCTAAGCAGGCATCATAACAGCTAATGTCAAAGGAAGTTCTGGAACTGGCTGAAAGACAAGAGGAGAATGGTAAAGGCATAAGGACTGATTTCTAATTTAAATCCTTGTTATATGAAGATTAGCTATAACTTCCACCAAGTCTATCTGGGTATTTTATGTACTCATGGAAATAACTTCATTAATGTTTCAGAGGGTCTCAGAGCATGCCTTGCAGAATTTGTTGGAAGATCTTCAGAGGAAATGAATTATTTCCTATTTCTTGCAAGCTTTCAGTAGTGCTCATAAATTAAGAAAAAAGCTACCCAGTGAATTGTGACTGTAAAAATTCTTATTAGACACACAAAAAAAAATCTGTTTTAGATGCATATAAATGCCTGATTCTTCAGGCAGAAGCAGAACAGAAAAAAACAGTGTGTAGATTTGTAATTACAGGTAATAACATAATATATACATATCAGGAATATGACACATAAGCATAATTTCTATATGCTTATCTTTTCACTGGTAACATTTTGATGTTGTTCATAATACTATATATTATAAGCATAATGAATAAAATCATTATTCCTGTATTAACACAAAAGCGTTTCTAAAAGACAATCAGTAATTGCCCAGGAGTTTGGGTATCTTTTCCATTCATGTGAATGGGCATTCTACCACAGCTTGAGAAACCTGTATCCAACAGAGAACTGATGTCTAAAAGATTAAAGATAGTAAATTGTTAATCATAACTAATAGGAGTTCTGCATTAAAAATGTGATGCTATGAATCATACTCATGAAATTTATAGGTAGCCTTCAAATTACAGATAAAAGTCATTCAAAATAGAGCATTTAAACCCAACTTGTAAAGACCTAATTTACATTTTGTGGAATTTTTATGTACATAAAACAGGAGACTGACTGTCTCTGACAGTAAGTAAAAGATCACATACTTTAACCATGATAATAAGAAAAAAAAAGTTTATTTTGATGTTTTTTTTCAGTAAGGAGGAGGCAATTGCTGCAGATGTGTTGCTTTAAGCAACTATTCCGCTTATTCATTTAAAATGTATACATAAAATATTTCCTTTATGCACATTTTTTTCACGGAAACATTTTGTGTGGAGGCACTGTCCTTCCTCCTGTTCAGCTAGGATTAAAGCTCAATTCCTATTGCTCTTTTGTTTCAAAACTGTGGGTAGAGTAAGGACGATGAAGAGTGTGGATATAGCTTAGCTTGTTTTCCTTACTGTGTGACCAAGCTGCCCACACTGCAGCTCGAGACTGCCGGGGATTGGAGAGTGTCTGGTGAAAGCGGCTGAACGCGGCTCCCCTGCAGACCTTCTGCCCACCTTCTGCTCACACGGGCAGAAAGTCCCAGGAAATTGCTGGAGAGAGTAGCTAAGTGCTCTTACCTCGAGTAACATGTTAGGTGACACTCTTTTCGCACTGATAAAACAGTGAGCACTCTTTACCAGCTACAACCAGCTTCTGATGAAAAGCAAAACCCAGCAGCTGACAAGAAGTCAGTTTTCCAGGTTGTTTTTTTGCATAGAGGACATTATGTTCGTTTCTGAAAAGCCTCATGCTTGGGGAAATGCTGCAATTTTATTCTTGCTTATTTTAAGGTATATTGCTAGAAGTAACACTGCAAATCTCTACTCGGCCTCGGCCTGAAGTGAAACGCATGAGAAGAGCCTCAGCTGGTGAAGTCTTTATGTAGAAATAATTGTTTCAGTCTCTGAACTAGGAACAAAATCTGTCCTAATGAAATGACCTTTTTATTCATTTGGAAAAGGCATGAGTGCTGACAGAAATCACAGGATCATTTTCTTTGCTGAAATCACAGCAAAGAGAGGAAATGCTACTTGGGCTGATTTCAGCTCTCAGGAGCTTGGTTAACCTCTGTAGCACTGCAACACCGTCAAATTTAGATGAGCACTTTTTAGGGCAGACAGCAGAGTCTGTATTTCCTCATATCTACATTTTGCATTGACCCTGACCTGGATGGATCATAATCAAAGGAGGAAAGGGAATTTCAATCTCTGCTTCTACTTAGCCATTGGCCTTTCTGCTGAGATCTTCAACAGTGTTCAACTGTAATCTTTTTATCTGAGTGATAAAAACCAGTCTGAAACCAGACGTTCATTACACCAAGGATCATAAGGGTCTGCCAGCTACAAACACTTTCCATTCACCACCAAGCCTGGATTTGCATTGGCTGTTCAGAGGTGAGGGGTGGTAATACCACTAATTTGTGTATGCCAGACCCTTTAAATGTTTTTTTTTTGATGTATTAAAACTGCATACTTGCCTGAATGACATTAATAATCAACAGCTTTGTTGCTGCAATACATTTTACTTTGTATTGTATACAATACATTGTATAGATATGAATTTAAATTTACATAAATTGATTTTTTATTACTTACAGTTTTGTTTATTTTCTTGGATGATTTTATAGACAACGATGGAAACAGTGAACACAAAAGCTAATGGAATCATACTGAGCCATATGATCTTCGTCATACACATGGGATCTGTCCATAAAATATAGAAGAGAGAAAATGAATCCTATGTTGCTAAGTTTTTGGATCATGACTATTCCTGATGGATGAACATTTAAAACAAAAACAAGATTGTGTCTTTCTCTTTTAACCTTCAGTGGTATTTGCAATTAAGCTTATTGTCTGTGATTTATCCTCATTTTAATCTTTATCTATCTCTTCATGTCTGAAATCATTGCATGGGGCTAAGTGAATGAATTTTTTTTCTATCTGTGTAAACTGTTATATGTGAGTCTGCCAGGAAGAATATGCTTCAAAGATGAACTTTTACATTTAAAGCAAGACAGAGGTAATGTATACTCCCTTTTTGTGTGTGTTTTGGTGGGACACCAGAAGAATTGGCCCGCTGTCCAACACACACCTGCACTGGCATTCTTGGCCTCCTGGTCCATCTTCATGTATGGGAGATGGTAGATGCTACATATAGAAAAATATCACAATCAAAAGGTGAAGAAATGCCTCATACAGGAACCCTCTGAGAAATTCTTTTAACCAAAGTGGGTAAGCACAGGAAGAAGGCTGTTCTTCTGGTCAACAGCTACTGCAGAAATACACCCGTGTTTCCCATGGCATTAGCTCAGTAACTAGTACAAGTCAGAACTATATAGCACAGATGGAGGATGTGAAGAGAGTTTCCTCCCCAAGAACTTAAAAGTTCTTCCAAACCTTTTCGGCAGCTGCATTTTAAAGCACACATTAGCATTGTCAAATAGTCATAAATACATGTATATGTGAGTATGGCTCATATAGAGTCAAATTATAGACTATATATAAGACTATATCCAAACCACTGTTTTCCTACCCTTGATTTAGAAAATCATAATTAAATCTATCTTAACATCTTTGTTTCTTCTCCACTGAGAAGTCCTAAGGTAAGTACTAATACCCTAATGGTTCTTTGATGAAGCACAGTTTATCCCTCCTAATACAGAAGTAAAAGCATCTTCCAGAGTACAGAGTAGTTTACCCCATACAATAGTGACTAGTAATGACTTATAAATCAGTGTTGCCAAGTCTGAGCTCTGAGCACCTCTCTAGCTTTGTTTTGATGTAACTGGAAAAAAAGAAAGTGTGTTCTCAATTCTTTGTGTTCATTTGAGATAATCACTTAATTCATAGTTAATTTACAATATTGATATGAGTTAGTAGGGCAAGTTAAAAACTGTACTCATAGCTAAACCTACTTGTGTAAAAAACCTAAGCTACTGTCAGTAGATTTTACCTAAGATTGTTTAACTAGCTCATGTTTAGCCAGCTCAGAAAGACTCATTTTTTTCCAGCAAAACCACAGCATAAAATGTATTTGCCATACAAAAGTAAATGAATGTAATAATTCACCAGCTCCCTGACAGCAAATGCTCCATACAAGGACTAGAAGCCCTGATCATGCTCAGGCAATCAGCCAAAAACCTCCTGCAGCACAAAGAAATTTAAAATTTGACAGGCTGTCCTCTGGGAAAACAAAACCAAGCTCAGCTGAAGATTTCCTTTTTAAGTATACTGTAGGAAGGCTGAAAGTAGGGTTTCCAGCAGGATATAAAGAAAAGCCAAATCTGTCCCCTGATTCTCCCGTCAGTGAGGTTGATAGGATTTTTAAAATTTATCTCAAAAACAACATGATTATGGCACTAAGGGCGAAGGTAGGGGGAGAGTCAATTCCAGTTTTTGTCACACATGAATGCTAGAAGTCTGCCAACATTAAACAAAAAAAGAAAGAAAGAAAAAAAAAGGTAAGTGAATTTACAGACACTTATTTTTCTGTGTCTCTTCTACAAAGAAAATACAGCAAAACCTGTTTAAATCACTCTTATCAAGTTACATTTGTAATGCTATTTTAATAAGGGATGCTATTTTAATAAGGGATGATCAAAAAAGCTTTTTTTTTTTTTTTTTTTCCCCTCAGGGAATACTTTAAAACAGTTGCCGGAAACAGAGAATTACCTAGTGGAGACTTTTTGCAAGATTCCCATAGATTCTGAGTCTGATTCCCCTTCAAACTCTCCTCTGTAACTTACATTCCACATAAGCCTTCAGCTGCAGTGAAACATTCATACAGTCATTTTGCTCTTCTGTCATTGCCACTAGACAGGAATGATTTAGGTGTTGTGCAGCTGCATTTCTTCCTCTGATTGTTGAATTCTTGATGTGGACTTCCAGCATGTAGTAAGTATGATGCTCATCTTCATTCTCAGGAAGCACGGTGAAATTGAAATATTTATAAAAATATTCAAGATCTTCTGTTTTCACTTCAAGTGAGCCTTTTGTTTGTGGAACTACAAATTTAAACAAAACATATGCATTATATAACATATAGTGGAGACAGACAGAAAACTTTCATAACGAATGGCAAGTTCTTTGTTTCATTCCTTCTGAAGAAATCTGAAGGGTATTGATTATCTAATCAAAATACATTTTCTCTACCAAAATAGCCTATCTTTGCTTTACTACCAGCTTCAAAGCTATTCAGTTCTTTCTGCTGTTTGATCTTTTGTTGACAAAGATAATAGAAAATTGGATGGCGGAAAAAAAAGTGAAAGCTATATGATGCTAGTTGTTTGAAGTGTAATCTATTCTGCCTGCTATCTGTTGCAGAAGGTTTTCAAAAGTTTCGCTGCAAAAGACACAAGCTGTAGTGCATTCTTCTATTTACTACTTGGCCTATTGCCTATGTAGCTAGCAATATATGTCCAAAAACCAAAAGTTGGAAGCACCCTCTCCCCCAAAATTTTCCAGGCACTTTTCAAGGCAAAGAAGGAATATGATCTACTGCTCTGAAAAGACAATGATGTTGCTGAACTCTTCACTGGAAGACTGGACCTGTCTTTAGTCAGTGTTGCCTTCTATGAAATCCCATTTCTGATATTGCACAGTTATATATAGCATAGACTTGTACAAAAATGGTTATTTTGGCTCTATTAATAGTTATTTGGCTCTTTTTGTTGTATAGCTACCCATCTTTGAATTAGTTCTACAAATACTTGCTCTCAGCTTGTCATCGTATTATGTTAAAGTGATGCTAACACCAACTCCACAATGACATTTGAAATCAAATTCTGTATGAAAACTGATCAGAATCTTCAACTCTTTAAAAACAAATTGAAGATTTTAGAAATAAATAAAGCAAAAATAAAGGAACAAAGATGGGAACAGAAGAGTATTCATAAAATCCACATGGTTGATGTGACATTTTCAGCAGG